AGAAAGAACTCCACTTTACCTGCACCTCAGCCATGTTTCTGTGTTTCCATCTGAGATGAAGAAGAATCCTTGTTTGTGCATGTAGACTGAGCGTTTTCCCCATGACGGCCGACTGAATTTCAAACATATTTGATTTTCTCCCGACCTCACGATTCCTGATCAGGACGTGGTCGTGAGAGGCTGATCGCCGCCCGTTACCCCCTGTACACTAGACGATGCACGATTGAGCAGAAAGGTGGCCCAATCGAGAAATTCTCGCACGACTGGAAAATCGTCCTGAAAAAGGGTATAAAATTGTACAGTTTATGCCCGGCTTTAGAGCTGTGGTTATATGCAATCAGGGTAACAAGATTCCACCTGATTAATCAAAGAGAATGGTGCTTTGTTGCATTGTTATAAAGCTGACAAATACTGCAGTTCAAGATTCACAGTCCGAACTCCACAAATTACTTTCTATATCTCTTTGCTTTAGTCAGTGTGAAACTGAGCGCAAAAGCAGTATTATGATTCTCACTTTATTACTGTCACAAATGATGGGTCATGAGTTCATTAAATTTGCCACTTTCAGAAGGCTGCTGAGATCCAGATAGTTTCACAGATTGCGTCAGTGAGTTTGAACAGACACTACAGCAACAGTAATTACCTACTGCAATACATGGGGCAAGTTGGTAGATGGGTCCGTTTAAAAACAAACTCTTAGCTTGGCAGAAAGAATTAAAAATATAATTGTCATTTTAAAGGTCGTAAATCTCAGCGGGATCACTCACATATGACTGGAGTTTAAATCCAGAGTGGATTGCTTCTGTAAAACTATAAAATACAGGTTCCAAAAGCCCAGGGAAATTTTGATCGTTCATTCCCCTACTTTTTTGAGTGCTGACCTAACCCAGCTCAAGTGGAAAATGTCAGAGTTATTCTTTTAGGATGGATGTATTTGTATTCATCAGTGACAAGACTGCTCTTTGCTGGAGGCTTTTGATTCACCTTTGTCTCTACAAACCCTTAAACTGTTCTCTTGGATCAGAGTCAGGCAGCACACTTGACCAAGTACTTATTTTCTCTTTTACCGTTTCAGGAATGTTTGTTGTATTATACAGTGCTATCACATCTTCAAATCCCTTTTTTGCAATGCCACTAAAAACTGAGAGTCAGGTTACAAGTCTGGATGTTATACCACCTTTTTTAAAAGGCCGTCTCCACAACTTTCACAGTACTTTATCTCAAGGATATCACATTATTACCACTAAAAGAATGTCAATCTCACCCTTCACATTAAACATGCTAGGACCCCTCTGCCTCATCTATCCGAAGGATACAATACTTTTAGTAATCAGTAATTTGTTTATTATAGTTCGACACTTCATTCTTTATAATGAAAAAGAGGAATATTCTATAACTTGTGGTCATATTGAAAGGTTTCATTAGTTTTGAATAGCATTCACAGTGTTGAACAATTTCTTTTTCTTATTTGTGGTAACATGGAGCATGAAACTGCTCAAAAGGTCAGTGAAAGCACTTTGATTGAAGGTGGTGCATATTTGCTGTGATTAATGCTACACTGATCATTTCACAGATTTTTGGATGAAAATCAGTCTCCCCTTTTCATTCTCCCTTTTTTTTTGAAGTTACAATGAGATTTTGTCAGGGGAAATTATTTTTCCACCCAGAGGCATACTAAGATCAGATAGAAATAGAGAGGCCATATGTTCAAAAGTGGGAAAGTTAAAAGACAGAATGCATACATTATCTGTGTGAAAGACATTCCTCTTTATCCGTGTATGTAAATCCCAAGGATAAATTGAATTTATAAATGACCCAGGTGGAAGAAGATACATGCACACAACATCCACAGACAAGTCAGGAGTGTTTGAAGCACAGCAAAAGAAAGGTGGTGAAATGCCACGTTTCATATATATTCAATGATCTAGTAGCACTTCACATTTCTGTTTGGCTATAACATGAATGCAGGAAAAAGTAATGAATAAATAGTGTCTAATGGTTACACTTTACACTAAACATTATTATTAAGAGACCATGTTTTAATGATTAACAGATAGTCTAGTCAAATATAGTAAGACATTTTCTATGCTGATAAGGTAAATTCCATGATGATTGGTTCTGTTTAAAGTCAATACAGAAAAAGCCTAAATGTATTAAAGTAAAAAAAAAATAAGTGCAGTGAGAACAATGAGCTTGTGGGCTGCTCAATGCGCAGTGGGTAGCACTGCTGCCTTGTAGCAAGAAGGTTCTGGGTTTGATTCCTGGCCCGGGGTCTTTCTGCATGGAGTTTGCATGTTCTCCCTGTGCATGCGTGGGTTCTCTCTGGGTACTCAGGCTTCCTCACGCAGTCCAAAAACATGACTATTAGGTTAATTGGCTTTTCTAAATTCTCCTTAGGTGTGAGTGGTTGTTTGTCCCGTTTGTGTCTGTGTTGCCCTGCGATGGACTAGTGACCTATCCAAGGTGTACCTGCCTCTCGCCAATTGACAGCTGGAGATAGGCACCAGCATATGAAATATTAAATATATACCGTACAGTTGAAAGTAGTTTTTCATTGAAAGAGTTTTCTTTTTCATTGTCTTATGGTAAAACAGAATGAAGGTTTTTTACATTAATTAGGACTACATGCCAGACTAAGTGCAACTTCTTTCTGTAGATATTTGTTGTTACTTTTTGAAATTCATACTTTAATGTACAGTATGTACGCCCACACAATGACGCAATAAGCAACATAGGATAAATCTCAGGCGAATCTGTGAACACATGGTAGAGCAGCACCTCACACAAACCACTTGGTTTGTAACATAGTGGGGAAATAAAAAGAAATCAGGAGATATAAAGAAGAGAAACCACAGTCTGGTTCATCCTGAAAATCTCCAGACTCTTAAGGGTCCCTCCTTCATCTGTTCACAAATTTACAGCGCTCAGTGTAAACACCATGAGAAAGTCCAGTTGTTGCTTTATTTAAAGCAGACATTGGCTCTGTATCTCAGAGATTAATGTGTTTTTGGGCAGATTGTAAGCATGGAACATGGGGCAAAAGCAAAATACCTTGCTAAGATCGCTTTATCTAGTGTAGAAAATGGTCCTGTTTTTATTTATTTTATCTCTTTTCATGCACTCTTTCCTGTCTCTATCTCCCTCCTTTTCTCTCTTTAGATCTCACTCCCCCTTTCTTTCTTCTCTCTTCCCATGTCCTTTGTATACGATTTTACTCTGCAAATAATGTTCAGTTAAGTATAACATACAAGTATCAAAGCAGAACCTTATGGCAACAGTAATACTGCTCAGCAAAGCTGTTGGGCTATCAGCTAGCTGTGGGACATCAATTCCCAGAACTATATTAGGTAAACAGGACACAATAAGAAAAAACAAACAAACAAAAAATAACAGAAATTTGCTCTGTGTTTCAGAGATGAATGTGTTTTGGGGCAGACTGTCAAGCATACAACGTGGAGGAAAAGCAAAAGTAGTAGTAAATGCTCCTGCATCACTAAGCCTTTATTCCATAAGTAACACCAGATTACAGTTTGTAAATACACCCATATTACTGCAATAACTAGGGCTGGGCGATAAACCGGATTTTTACTGTTACCGTCATTCACCACTATATCCGGCGACAATTTTCCTATGTCAGTAAAAGAAATAAACTTAATTTTGCCGTTTTTCCTTTGTGCGAGGGTGGCTGGTATTTCCTTCCCTTTCAAGACACTGAAGCATGTGGGGAAATTACGGGACTCCACCAATCCAGTCAGAAGCATAAACAAAGATAAAGGCGGATGAGCCCATTGAAGAAGCTTCTAACCAGCTGTAAATGATATAACATCAGTTAATCTTGTGGAGCTAAGCAAGAGCCGAGATGGAGCTGAGCATGCAGAGAAGAAATCGAGGGCGCATTGTCAGAGTCCCTCGGCAGACCGGTTTTGAGTGACGGTTTGCGAGCTTAAAAGATGAAGATCGTTCTCACTGCACACTCAGTTCGGTGGCATGGAAATTACGTCATAAATGTTGAGCAAAAGAACACAAAATGTCTGAGTTTGTCTGAAAAAAGCTCCATTTGGAAAAGGCTCCATTAACTTTGCACAAAAATGTTTGCAAGACAGGTTATATTTTTCTACTCTTCAATGAGACATTGCTAAATGTTTAAACCTGAATGGGTACAAGACTTTAATATTTATAAATAAATAAGCTGTATTTTCTGCACATGCCTTTTTTCTTATACAGGAGTTGGAGCATTTATCGTACTTTTATCGTTATCAAGGTAAAACTTCCTAATTTATTGTTGTATTGATTTGAGGTCATACGGCCCTGCCCTAACTTTAACTCACCAAATGGATCAGACAATGAGGGGGAAAGATCATGTGGAAATAAGAAGTAACAGCAATATTGCAGAACATAAGCCAAAAAGTTAAAGCTTGGGGCACAGACAGGATGTCCAAATGGACAAAAAAAAAACAAAGCATACATTCAGAACAGTTTTAAAGTGGCTTAAAGATTACAAATGTTATGTTTTGGTATAAACATAGGCCTTAAACTGTGTGTGAGCATGGCAGCCTACAAATCTGGCAATGGACAAAAACCTCAGGTTGAAGGATACAATTAAGATGTTGGACTACAATCATAAGCATCAAGAGGCATTATTACCTAATCCTAAGGGAATGTTTGCAGGCTTATTACTTTTATTCTGAAGATAAATCTAATCAGAGTGGAATCAATATTTAACTGATAAGCGGTACAGCCTTTTCAGTAGATATTTAAATGCCTGCCTCTGTTTATTCTCACTTATCTGAGTCACGGCAACTACCACGCTCACATCTGGGTTAAAACATAAGGGAGGGTAATTCCCATTGTGTAATGCAACATGCCTATGCAGCTGTAGTCTGCTTGCCTTCATTTTAAGGCTGTAGTAGTTATCTACTTAAATGCTATTAATCATTGATCATAAAGCCATTTGGCAATCAGTGTGATACTACAAACTTTGAGTTGGGAGCATAACTCACCACAGTTTTCCTCATCAGCCTGATTTCCACAGTCATCTATGCCGTTGCAGTGCAGGAGCTGCGGGAGGCAAACTGTCAGATTGCCACAGGGAAAATATCCAAGTGGGCATGTAGTCTTCTCCTCTGTGGTATTGAATGCTGCAATAATAATAAAAAGAGACCAAAACATGACTTCAATGTCAATCATTTAAGAATGAAAATATGTGTAGTTCTATGCACTGGATGACTGGGGGGTCTTTACTGAGGAAGATGTTTCTATTTTTACTGCTATTATGGAGCAGGTTTATAGCTGGCTGTTTTAGTAAACAAGATATATTGCCTCATGTTTTGCATTTCATTTACAGAATGCCATGCCATTTCTGTCACTATATTGTTTTAGCTACTTTCATAACATCGTTTCTCTCTCTATGACAATAATTGCCAAAACCATGGCCACTACTCTTTTTTACACAGCTGCACATCAGAACAAAAGACATATTATCTTCCCTTTAACATAAAGCAGGTCAATTTCATATTTTATTTAAGATTTTTGTGTATTTCAAACAGCTGCTGAAACGGAAAAGTAGAGAGAAAAATGAAAACTGTATTAAGATTCATTACACTTGCAGTGCGTTCAGCAAACACAATAAATTAAATTGCTTTTACAATAATGGTTAAATCAATTCATTCAGTAGCGACTCACTGTCCCAGCTTTTTTTTCTGCTACTCAATAAATCTGTCCTGTTTACACTTAAAAGCAGAGGAAATGTATAAAGAGTTAAAGCCTGCTATAGCATCTACAACAGAGCATAAATCATTGATTATAATTGATTAAGAAATTGCAAACATAGCTCAGCGAGAAAAACTATTTTTAAACAGTCAATCATTAGCAAATTGCTTTGGCTAGTTTAAAACTAAATGCAAGAAACATCAACAAGCAGCAAAATTACATATTATAATGACTCATGATGAATAACAACTACATGTTGTGATGACCTGAAATACAATGAGGCTAATTAGTACATCTCTATCTGACCAACGGCGCAGTGTGATCACCTCAGGTGACTGTGACCCATGTTTCCGAAGACAGCGGGGGAAAATCTGTTTTCCTGAACTGCTGCATAATTAACTTACAAGTTTTGAAACACCTCAGCACAGAACAGATAAAAGCTACATAAATAAAAAATAAAAAAAAACAATATGAACATGCCATTCTTCAACAATTTATTAGGTTGAAGCAATAAAGCTGAATTTCTGCATGCTGAAGAGGTTGTTTGCACTCAGCAATAAGAAATAATGTGTTCTGATTTTAAAAGAGATTTTCATGAAGCTGTTTAACATATTTTAAGTATCTCTGCATGCGCTCTGTGATGACCTGTGACCACATCCCCTTTGCACACTGCAGAGCAAATGAATGCTCAACACATCATCCAATCAGTCCAGTTATAGTCGGAAGGTAACAAACACTAGCACAAAATTTGTTCTAGTTTAGAAGCTTACTTATTTAACTGGAGTGCGATCTTGACTTTTTTTTTTTAAAGGAAGAGAATCCACATGCTGAAAATCCACTTTATTGGCTGAAATGTTATGCTTTTCATGAGTGCACCAACTTCAGAAATAAGTGCAAATGTATAAACACCGGAGAATAAAATGACCATTATAAGAGTATTTATATATATTTTTTTGCCACCGCAATAGAGATTGCAGTGATTTTTCTAAGGCACTAAGCAACCCCAATATTCCTTTTATGTACAGAAGCATCAGGAAATGGAAACAACTTAAAGGTACATTCTGTTTTTGTTTACCTCTTCATCTAAGACACTTAGAGAATCCATAAATAGTCAGAGAGACAAAACAGAATAGCATCTTAGTAAAAGACACCTTATGAAATCATAATCTTTCAAATTTGACACAACGAAAAAGAGAAATAAAATCATTCTCATGAGTTCATAACAACTGAAACAAAAATGTAAGAAATTCTACCAACTTCCCTTTATCTTAAATTCACAATGCTTCAATTAAAATGTTATATTCCTACATCAGCCATAAACTATATACTGATTTGAGTCCCCAAACTAAAGGAAATTATGTCATGAAGGCTAAACTAAATTACTTTCAATCCCAAACATAAATTCACACAATTTTAAACACACCTATTTTAAATATTTGTTATAAATGTCTCATTCAAAATGCAATTACAAATATTTTTTTATTCAAATAAACAAAGTTGTCCATATTTCATAATACTACAGCTATGCAGCCTTGAGATAGTAATGACTTTTGGAATCAGCAGTCGGGTACTAGGTATTTTTGTCCACACCTAGGGCAGTATTAATATTATGACCCCTTTCCTTAGCTGTAATTCAGAGACCCAAATGCATCTGTAATGAAGCATGTCGGTCAAATTCTAGCCTTTGTACCAGAAAAATGAGGCATGAGAAAACAAAACAATCCAAATCCCATTGTAGCAGACACAATGTCCCTGTTCCTTTCTTGCATCCTTTTCACTGTATAATAATATGATTATAAACCATAAATGAATATGTTTATATTAGGAATGCATAATATCAAATTGTGCATCTTATTGGTAATACAGACGGACTTATACACTTTTTTTTAAGGCTGATACTGATTATTTTGTTATTAGATAAATCAATCCTCAGTATGTACTTGCGACATATTGATATAAATGATATAGCTTTTTTTTCCACTTAGCCATTTACATGACAAAAAAAACAACAATATGAAATCATGCACCAATTTTGATTTAAACAAAACGTAAATATTTACTAGCAAATCAAACAAAAAAATTATAATAAGAAGCAGATGAATGGGGTGGCAATGCATGTGCTTCACCTGATCTCAATGCATGGCTGCTAAATGCACTAATGAATCGACCAATAAATATATGAATAGTGCAAAAAAAAAAAAAAAAAAAAAAACTAACATAACTCAGCTGATGTATCACTCCATCTCAGATTGGAATAGGCTGATATTAGCCTCCAAATTATTATAAGGCATTGTCCTCCCCATTAATATAATACACCCAATATAAATGATTCAAGACATTTATTAGCCATTTGTGACAGACCACAGTCCAGACACTTTGGAATTTCTGTTCAGATAAAAGGTTTTTTTTTTTTTTTTTGAAAATCAAGTAAGTATTAAGCCCATGTCCGCAGGTCATATGCAACCAACTGTCTGTCCAAGTCTGTTACAGAACTAAAAATGTTTAACAAACAGATATCTGAATCTTTATTTGCAACCTATGCACAGCACAGGAGGGAAAAAAACCACATGGTGTCTGTAATTAAGTCTACATAGAAAAAAAAAAGAAAGAAAAAAATGATCTTGCTATCTGGTATCAGGCAGTTGAGTTGTAAAATATCCGTACATTGATGTTGGTCACAGTTGAAAAATTGTGTATCCCGATTTAGATAAAATAAACAGAGATTTAAGATTCAAGGAAAGGACTAGGTTTTAGATTGCTCTGAAGACATAAATATTGTGCAAAACTCACCAAGCAATTTGTCATGGAAACATTAAAGTCTCCACTTGTGAGAGATTCAGAAAAATGCAAAATCAACAAAAACATGGGTGTCTAATCTTAGAGGCAGGGAAAATAAAAAACTGTCTCAGCTAAATCCACTGCAGGTTTAGTCAGGTAGAAGAAGAGGTTAATGGCTCAGTTTTGGACCAATTTCAAATGTTGGACAGAATGCTTTACATTTGATTTTTAAATACTTTGGCAAACTGTTGAGTTTATGGTGTTTTCAATAGCTGCAAGGTGCCTAAATCCTTTTAAAACAAGGCAAAATGCCACAGCTCCAGTACCTTGCTAGACAACTGGCATTCGGTATTTTGCTGACACGCTGTTTGGTTTTCTCCTAATTTATCTTTGTTATAGGAAAACATTTCTCCTTTGCTTCAAAATACACTGTCCCAGCATTTTTGTGTATTATGAAATTAAACTTTCCAAAATGTTGTCTTGCTGCATATTCTGACTAATTTCCCTGTTGTTAACATGAATAGTAATTAAGTCCAAGATTGAATTCTGGGTTTTATGCATCATTTATCTGACTTTATTTAAGTTAGTGAATAGCTGACCCAATAATGTTTCTGAAATATTAGCGGCTTAACTAATGAAAGAATTGATTAATCCACAAAGTTGCCCTTGGCATTAAAGTGTCAGATTTTCTGCATTAATTTCCTTTCAGATATGTGACTGTCACTTGTTTTCGAGGAATATAGCAGCTTTAAATCTGTTATTTAGGCTCATTCCAGTCTTAATAAAAAGCAAGATCTAATTTATTTTTATACTAGAGATATAAATAAAATATATGTTATCACCTCTGTAAGAAAATAAATACTACAAGATAACCAGAATGGTAGGAATAATCTGTATAAATGTGTGATGTAACCTGAAAGTAGAATAGGTAATACGATGCATTTTTTCTTCTTCTCTCAAGGGAGCAGGAAAGTCCCTAAAACGAAATGATAATCTTTCTTTATCTTTTACCGTGGATGATGGCGCGTGTTAAATTTCATTAGTAAAATCATAGATGGATGATTGGGAAGCCACCTGGGATTTTTAAAATAGTATCTGACTCAGGTGCTGTTCTTTGACTGAGTAATTTGGTTCATATTCTGATATAAACTTATAGGAACAATACTGCAAATCCTGGCTGATGACAATTTCCTGTTTTCTTTGAGGCCGGACTGAAATTAATCTTTTTATCCTGAGGATAATGCAAGATTAAACCCATAAAAGTATAAAATGCTGGGTTCTTTAATAGAGCTACTAGTTTAAAAAAAATTAGAAGCAGGAATTAGATTCCCAAGTCCTGTATGATTCAGAGCAGAATGCAATGTACACTATATGAATCTGCATCATTTCGGATTTAACTTTTTTTAATTTTGAGATCATTAAAATTGTAAAAAAGAATAAAAAAAAATCTATTTAGACTTGTTTTATTTGCCAAGTTTGTGAAAAAGTAAGGAATTTGACCTTGGTTTGACTTTGCTGTCAACATACCATTTTATATATAAACAGTTCTGAAAAATTGCTTTGACATTTTTTTTGTTTGTTTTTGTTTGGTTTCTAGGATGTGTGGGCTGTGTAGAGATTAGCTCTTTTTTCCACCTTGTGAATATTTTATACCTAAAGCCTGTTTGATTTAAGATTATCCAGTGCTGGAGATTTAGCAACTGCTTAATCATTTGTTTAATTGTTTAGACAGCACTGTTACCAAGATTTATTGTTTTAGTTGGCACCTATTCAGTTTTGTTTTTTTCTCTCAGCAGTTTGTGTGTTCTAGTAGTTCTAGAGTTCTAGTAGTGTTGAACTGAATAAGTTATAGGGAAATTATTGCAAATTCTACTGTAGAAAATAGTTTCATTTTCTGTGCTTATTTTAAGTGTGATCAGAGCATTCCTTTCAAGTTAACAGTTTATAATACAATGATATTTATTGCTATTTGGGCTAATAATTCATAATTACAAATGCAGTTATGGGTTAGAAATATAAGAATCTAATGATGGTTAAACAAAACCAAGCTTTTGTTTTTTTTAACAAACAGATTTGCTAGCAAATTCAGTTAACTTTTTAATGATGATCAAAATTGTTAAGAATATTCAATTAATGGGGAAAGTGGAGCAGGAGATCGACAGGCGGATTGGTGCGGTGTCTGCCGTGAAGCGGACGCTGTACTGGTCCATTGTGGGGAAGAGAGAGCTGAGCTGAAAGGCAAAGCTCTTGATTTACCGGTCGAGCCATGTTCCTACCCTCATCTATGGTCAAGAGTTTTCGATCATGACCGAAATAACGAGATAACGAGAGATAGGGTGAGGAGCTCAGTCATCCGGGGAGGACTCAGAGTAGAGCCGCTGCTCCTCCACGCGGAGAGGAGCCAGTTGAGGTGGCTCTGGCATCTGGTTAGGATGCCTCCTGGACGTCTCCCTTGTGAGGTGTTCCAGGCACATCCCACTGGGAGGAGACCCAGAGGGAGACCCAGGACACACTGGTTGGACTATATTTCACGGTTGGCCTGGGAACGCCTTTAATTTCTTCACGGATCTTCTTAGGTGAAGTATCTCTAATTAAGAATTTTTACTTTTAAATGAAGTACAGTAAGTTACATGTTCTACATGTGTATATTAATAATATAAAAAGACAGGCATTTAATTATCTGCTTTAAATTAAGACATGTTTGACCAGAACCTTTGAAAAACAATGTCCTTAGTCATTTACTCTCCTTTACTGACATTAACAAAGTCTCATTATGACCTTAGTGCCATCTGTGATTATGTTATTTATGCCCAACTTTGCACAATTTCTGAGACTTTATTAAATTTTGCAATATTGTACAAATGAGAAAAAGCTAAAATTAGAGTATGCAGAAAACCTAGTCCATTCATTTTTTTTTAAACTAGACTACTACACTTCTTCACTCTGCAGTATATTTAGAATAATAGCATTTTACCTATTCCGAATCTGCTCTGAAAACAGAAAAGATGGATCACTTCTCAATTTCTTGTTAGTGTTTGATGGATCTCAGATAAACACCATATATATATATATAAAAACAAATCCCCCTCACATAAAAAGCACTAATTTTTGAGTGTTTTAGGTCATTCTCAGGCTGTTGTCTTGTTTTCTGTCCCACGTGTCAGTACTGAGCTGGGTAAAAAGGCCTTTGCTTACTCTGCTCCCTTTACATGGAATTTGCTGCAAAATAACATGAAACTTAGTAAATTGGTTCCTTTGAATACTTTTAAGCTGAGAATTAGATGTTTTGAGTTAGACTCCCTCACATGTCAATGTTTTAATTGAAATTTTATTGTAAGTGCATATTTGGCTTTTATGTGTGTGTGTTGTACGTATGTAATGATGTGATGTAATTTTGATGCCTATCTTGGCCAGGTCTCCCTTGCAAAAGAGATTTTTAATCTCAATGGGTATTACCTGGTTAAATAAAGGATAAATAAAAAAATAAAATTCTCATCTATCCCTGGTAATGCTACTATAGGCTTAGGCTGCTGGGGGACACACTGGCCACTTTCTACTACTCCTTTACAATTATGCACTATCTAGATTAGTGGTTCTCATGTCTGGTTCTCAAGTACTACTGTTCTGCACATTGTAGGGGTCTCATTGGTACCACGCACACCTTACTTACATGAAGGAATAATTAACAGGCTTCCACAATACTTCGCGGCTGCTGAGGAGCTCATGCAATCACGAGAAACAGAGAGACATCTAAAATATACAGAGCAGTACTTGAGGAGCAGGATTGGGAGCCTTAGAAGAATCTAGATTATGGCACCAATAGCTTCCATTAAACTTTACATTCTCTCTTTTTCTACTCAAAATGAGATTTAGTCCAGTGTTTCAATATGTCGGTGACATTTTCCTGTAGGGTGCCACCGGCGAAGCTTTTACTGACAATCTTAATTCTCTAGTATATAGATTATTCTGTCTTTACTTAACTCTAACTTAGTCTTTCTTGGCATTTCATCTAAAGGAGGAATATATAGATTTCTTTTAGCATAATTTTTTTTTACTAAGTGACAAAATAAACTGGTCTGTTGGTTTGTTGTTTTATATCTAAAATTATGTAAAAAGAAATAGTGATGACATTTACAGTAATATATAATATGACTGAACATGGCTGCATAATTTAGCATATAAATTGGTTCTGTTTGTCTCAAGGCAACTTCTTTTAAAGAATTGTCAATATAAAAACAAAACCATGGTTATTAATTAATATCAAATCAGCTAAATATATATATATATATATATATATATATATATATATATATATATATATATATATATATATATATATATATATATATATATATATATATATTTATTAAAGAAAATACACACACAGTAATTCCAGGTAATATATTATTTAAATGGTCAAAAGACGGTCAATACCTTTTTATTTTGAGTCAGACTGGTTTGCATATTTTTGTTCACTTAATGGATAAATGTAAGATTTTAATAATACTTATGTTATATGGAAATTTGTTCCATGACCTTAAAGTAAGAGTACAGATATGCATGTGTGAAACTATTGTATCTGATCTGACAATCCTCTTATCCCTTGCCATTTACTGCCGCTTCTTTATAACCAACAAGAAAAAAAAAAAAATCTTTAGACTTGTTTTGCTGATAAACTTTCAGCAAACAGCAAGGCTTGGAATAAAAATCTCTGAAATATGTGAAACGGAAGAGGAAAGGACAATCAAATAAAACAGGTTGCTTGCTTGGATAGAAAGCCAGTGGGATAAGACCTCCACCGACTACATTTGCCATTGTTAGCACATGCTGAAGCCAAACAAACACTGATAAGGAATATTGCACACATTGTCCAAGCACCAGGAGGTAGCTGATCGCAGATGCTCCTCTGTAAGTCAGGAGAAAACCACTGGCAGTGCCTTGATAACTGTTGTAGTATTCAAATGAACACATAAGTCTGTTGGTCCCACTAATGTGTTGCTTTATTTATCAGAGGCAAGGAAATTAACTGATCTGCTGCCGATTAAGGAGGAAAGGTTGAATTTACAAGCTATTCCTCCAAAGACTCCTAGTTTAAAGTGTTCCAATGTAAAACTTTGAAATTATAGTAAAGCGAATTTCTTGAGTGTATTCCCTTTTATTGATCTTTACACAGCAGCTTCACCTAGTAACACAGAATCCCATCTAAGCATCAGCTGACAGAATGTATCTTTACAGTTAGGGATGCCTCATTGCACAGCTGATGCTGATTCGAATACAAAGATTATCCAAACCTCTTAGAAAATCTACAACATTAAGCTAAAAAATATGATCTTGACATGGGATAAAGATTTTTAATTAATGTCTATTACTATAATGGCGTGAATTTCAGAAGTTAAAACGACTTTTATGCGTCTTTATTAGAGGATGGCATCGAGCATTGCCTCATTAAAGCTTTCAGAACCAATTTAAAGGCAACATGAAGGAACAATATCAATAGTAAAATCTCTTCGAGGAAGTCCTGTTTCAATCTTTCATTTGTTTTATGGTTTTATTCAGTGCAGTCTTTAAAGGCAAATCTATAAATTGTAAAACACGGATAAAAAGAGATCATTATCTGGTGAGTGAAATGTAGATGCTGAACTTACCCGAAACTGCATAGGCGAAAATCACTGCCAAGAAAACTTGCATGGTTCCCCTGGAAGTTCTCCTATAAAACAACCCTGGGATGAGGAAAGGAGCGGGGATTTTTTAAATTATTTTTTTTTAATCTAAGCCGATAATATGCGCGCTGACAGTGGTGAATAGAAGGTGATCTGATCCGGAGAACAGCAGCAGAGAAGACCTGTGATCGCTTCGCAGGGTCGGAGCGGTCTGCAGCCTCTCCTGTTTGAGGGAAACGTTAAAAGAGTTGCCATGTTCTGACGCACAGGGAGGAAGCGGGCGGCACAGGTGGAGCAGCTCGGAGCGCAGCGCACTGACGCGCAGAGGGGGGAATCACCATTCACACATAACCACCACCGACAGGGACTTACTAAAACAAAAATACATCTCGACTTAATTAGAGCGAGTGAACTCTCCAGAGCAGTAGGCTTCTGCGCATCAGATGACAAATTAACCAATTATTTTAATATCTACTCGTTAGATTAAATTCCGTTTGCTTTTACAGATTATTTTCCACAGTCAGGGATTTCTATCTGATTTAGACGCTTTAAATCAGCTTCTGATTTTGCCTTTCTCTGTTTTTTGTTTGTTTGTTTATATATATACATATATATTTAGAAAGCAATGTATATGTTTAATGAGACAATGTATTTATATAAAATAACGGACGAGTGGAAGCCTAGTGGTTTAGGGCATAGAGCTTTGAATACCGAGGTTGTGAGTTCGAGCCCCCCACTCCCACAGACTGACAAACTAAGGGGCAGGGGCGGAGCTAGATGGATTGGCCACCCCTATACTTTCCCCCCCCCTTTTAATACAGATGGTGGCAGCAATAATACTCTCAAGTGGAATATTAATTTACATTTTTCATATATTACTATTTTTTCATGTATTCATAATTTCTTGAAAATAAAAACACAGTGGTTAATTATACACATCAATATACTAACCTTTAAGATAAGTACAGGGTTTGTGCTCTTTTCAGAACTAGATTTTGTGTTTTATGGGGTAAAGAGAAAATGATGTGTCTCTGCAAGTCATCTTGGAGTCTTCACCGAAATCATAGATAAATAGCTATTTAAACTAAAATGTATTAAATAATCAATTTATGTAGATATTAGTACTTTTAAATATCAGTTTCATGCAGAATTTTTAACGATAAAAGTAGGTAAGTAATGACAATGGAAAAGATGCAAGCCCCAGAACTCAATTTTCTGGCTACGCCTCTGCCAAGAGGATAGGTTCTTGCAGAGGTACATTTCTCCAGTGTGTACAGGAGAGGATTAGGGCCACTGAAAAAATAAAAAAGAGGTTAACAGATTTTTTAAATTTTATTTGAGTATAATATGAGAAAAAAGTCAGAATTCTGACTTTAATCTCATAATTCCGAAATTAATCTTTGAATTCTGACTTTTTTTCTCCCAATTCTGACTTTAATCTCAAAATTCTAACTTTTTTCTCAGAATTCTGACTTTTTTCTCAGAATTCTGATTTTAATCTCAAAATTCTAACTTTTTTCTAAAAAATTCTAACTTTTTTCTCATAATTCTGACTGAATTCTGACAGCTAACCAACATTTTGGATCAAGCCATTGCCATGTCTGTTTAAGAGACTAAACTAGCTCTCTTGTTTTAATCACCTTCTGCTATTTACAGTTTTTTTCTGAATGCTTAAGCGCTAATCGTGATTCTTGTAGCACAATTTCTAAAACTATTAATACCTATAGCAAAACCATTCACTGAGTTTGCAAAACTAAAAGCACAAACATTGCATTGCACTCAGTTTGCAATTTTGTAACACACATTTTGCAAAACTGTAGGCACAATTCACTGCACAACACTCTATTACCAAATTTCCAACACACTCCTAGCAAAATTATACACATGTATGGCTATCATTAACACTATTTTGCCAACTGTCTGGCACACTTACACATGTTAAAACTGTTTTAGATAATTAGTTCACTTTGCAATCAGCCTAAGCACTATAAATAAGCCATAGGTAAGCTGTCTGTGTGGAGTACAATGGATGGAGCAGTGAGAGTGAGAAGAGTGAGAATCAGAGGAGGCCAAGGGAGAGGACGTGGAGTTGAAGAAGCAAGAGGGTTGAGGAAGTTAGAGGAAGAGGACAAGGAGGAGCAAGAAGAGGACGAGGAGGGGGAAGAGGTAGGGCAAGAAGAGTAAGAGATAGAACAACTGATGACATCAGAGCTACAATAGTGAACCATGTCATCCACCATGGGATGACCCTGAGGGAAGCTGGCCAACGGGTTCAGCCTAATTTGAGCCGCTACACTGTGGCAAGCATCATTAGGACAATTCGAAATGAGAATCGGTAAGTACTTTGTAGCATACCATACCAGTACCATACATGCAAAAATACAGAAATTGTTACTTTACAGAATTGCTAGATGTCCAGATGTTGGTGGCAGAGGAAGAATGTTCACTCCAGAGCAAGAGACCCATATAGTGAACATGGTGATTGCCAATAATGCAATAAGACTGCACGAAATACAGCAGCGCATAATTGATAATGACACCATCTTTCAAAATATACACAGTGTAAGCATTTCTTCACTAATTCGTGCACTTGTGCGCCACAGAATAAGAAGGAAGCAAATTTACAGAGTTCCTTTTGGGAGAAACACAGAACATGTAAAGCAACTGCGATATGACTATGTGCAGGTAAGCTATAGTGTCATTGGTTCTGACTTTGGAAGTGCATACTGTAGTGCTGTGCATGGGCCTGATGTGATGCATTTGTTTTGTCTTGTCCAGAGAGTGATGGAACTAGAAGCAGAGGCCATGGGACATGAGCTACTTTTTGTAGATGAAGCCGGTTTTAACCTCAGTAAAACCAGGAGACGTGGCAGGAACATTATTGGACACCGTGCCATCATCAATGTCCCAGGACAACGTGGTGGTAACATAACAATGTGTGCAGCTATAAGCCAAAATGGTGTTGTTCACCATCATGCAACCATAGGCCCATACAGCTCTGCACACATTATTGCATTCCTGGACACCTTACATGACATGCTCACTGTTCAGAGACCAGAGCATACCCGATAAGTCAGCATATGGGACAATGTTAGTTTCCATAGGGCTGCTTTGCTCAGCAACTGGTTTACAGACCACCCATTCTTCATGGCACTCAACCTCCCTCCATACTCTCCATTCTTAAATCCCATCGAGGAGTTGTTCTCTGCCTGGCGCTGGTAAGTGTACAACCGTCATCCTCATCAACAGGTAGCCCTTTTACAGGCAATGGAGGAGGCATGTGGAGATATTGACCAGGCATCATGTCAGGCCTGGATAGACCCAGAAAGACGACATGATGTAGGCTGATTGTTTTGTGTTCTGACTTTGTCTTGGTTTTGATAAGTGTGAATAAACAGCAATACTTAAGATTTGGATCCTTGTATGTTTACATGACACTATGACAAAAGTATGACCTCAAATTGACATCTGTACACAGAGAAAGCCAGGTGTGTTTTGTATTCATACCATTAGTGTGTAGTTGGCACATTGTGTGCTTAGTAGATGATGGCTTGTGTTTACTGTTTGATACGAAAACACCATTTTTACAAAGGTGTGAAGAGTTAATCTAGCTGTGTTCGCTTTTTCAAGAGAACTACAATGTTTTGATAAATGGGTGAAAGGTTTTCTTGTTTGTGTGCAGAGTGTTAATATCAGCTTTGGTTTTATGTAGCTACAGAAAAAAAGGAACCTAATCCAAAATCATCCGCCTCAAAAAATAAGCCCCAGTAGATGGATTTTACTTGCCTTTTGCCCTTTCTCACAATTAAAACAAATAGAAAGAAAGTAGTTTTAAAATTATGTTGGAAAGTGATGTGTGCTATTAACGGCACTTTTAGGGAAAAAAAGAACTGGGAGCTTGTCATCATTACAGTGTCCTAGTTTTATCCACTTAAGTCAGTAAGGTATTCATCCTTATCTTTCCTATTCAGATAGTAACAAACTGAACAACACTGAAGTACAAAAACTAAAATAATGGTTTGACTCAATGCAAAAAAAATACAAATCTGTGCAAATGAATTAGCTGCATACAATCAGCATTATATCTGACACATTCACTTCTTCATGCATTTTCCCCCCAATTCATTATATATATTTTTCTTCTAGCAATTTCTAGACAGCAGTAGACCTGTGTGGTTTGTGAAAATCAAAATTTCCAGAGGGGATTCAGGCTATTTATTTAATAACTCCTTTTATCAGAAATGGTAGGTTTTATTTCAACTTTGATTTATTCACTTACTGGTTATTCCGTATGAAGGTGACAGTTGAGAGTTGTTTATCTTCAGCCAAAGTGACATAATTCTGAAGGCATCTACACAGCCCAAAAGTATAACATTTCATTATTTGCTGACAACTCACCAAGTGGGGGCGTTATGAGGTCGATACCTTGAAATGGAGCCAACATGGCAGCCTCTGCCTCAAAAGTTTTATGTAATCAATCCACAAAGGTATGTAAGGCCTTTTTTGGCATATCCCTTTACACTAGCTTAAGTGCTTTATAGCAAGTAAGGTAGAATATACATAAAGCAGCATTAAGATAAAACCTAGTAGACAAAAAGATGTAAAAAAAAGAAAAAAAAATTTAGGCTACACTGTAAAAGTTATTAAAAGCTGTCCTTAATAGATAAGTCTGAAGAAATGACTTTAAGAAGGCTGGGTCAGAAATCACCAAAAGAATAGAGATGTTTTTGTCTGCCATTAAACATGAATAAATGTCCGTACAATTACAATCTTAATATGTTTGCCCACTGTTTGCAATTTTAACAGCTTTGCTTTTTTTTGGAATTCGAGATCCAACAACAATATTACTCAAGGCCTTGTGTTTATTTAATGTCTCTACATCTTTGCTTTAAATCATCATAATGTTGTTATTTTTGTTCATTGGGTTGTTTATTTTATTCTTAGTTCGTAGTTCATTACATCCCTTCCCCTGCCCCTCTTTCACATTCTCTTCGGCAAGATGTAGAGGTCAACAAAAAGGTAAAGGATTTAATAAAACGAAAGGGTTTATTATAGGAATGGTATGTTTTAATCCAATCTGGCTTCTGGTTCCCAGGATGCTTTTGGATCAGCACTGAGTAGATCAAAAAATTATAATCTAATTATCCAATTACAGTGAATGAGGAGATTTGCTTTACCGATGACAACGGTAGGGAGGGTTCTGGGAGGTGGAGTTTGCCACTAAGGTTGTCGTTTGCAAA